AGTTTTTGAAAAGTGATTTTGGCTAAATAAAATATCTCCTTTTGAATTGGACTTTGAGCTTTGTAACTTTGCAAATCTTTTTTATGCTCAAACAGCAACATTACAGACTAACTAAAGTTGAAAAAGTGAAAAAGCATAATAGGACCCCTTTAAATATAAATATAAATTTAAAAGTACTCTCCAAAAAACGTCTACTGTAATATGAAATATTCACATTTTAAATGTTGCTATTTTGCTAGAATACAAAAATATTTTTGAATGCTCGTCAATGGAAAAATACTTTGCAGCCAGATGGTGTACTTACAACGTCTACCAGCAGAGTCTAGCGGGGCCATGCTAACCAGCTAAGCTTTAACCCTTTGGTTGGAACCCGGTTAACTACGTTTATGCGATTCCTGTGGGCGTTTCTGGAGCACGCCACTGCTGCCAATATCCTTCGGCAGGCCCGGTATTCGGTATGAACCAGTATACCGACGAGTCGTTCGTTGTAGTTTTTGAAAAGTGATTTTGGCTAAATAAAATATCTCCTTTTGAATTGGACTTTGAGCTTTGTAACTTTGCAAATCTTTTTTATGCTCAAACAGCAACATTACAGACTAACTAAAGTTGAAAAAGTGAAAAAGCATAATAGGACCCCTTTAAATATAAATATAAATTTAAAAGTACTCTCCAAAAAACGTCTACTGTAATATGAAATATTCACATTTTAAATGTTGCTATTTTGCTAGAATACAAAAATATTTTTGAATGCTCGTCAATGGAAAAATACTTTGCAGCCAGATGGTGTACTTACAACGTCTACCAGCAGAGTCTAGCGGGGCCATGCTAACCAGCTAAGCTTTAACCCTTTGGTTGGAACCCGGTTAACTACGTTTATGCGATTCCTGTGGGCGTTTCTGGAGCACGCCACTGCTGCCAATATCCTTCGGCAGGCCTACCAGGGCATCCTCCAGACATTCTGATTTTGTGCCCCCTGGGCCTAATTATAAAACCCAGCTTTTGCTGGGCCACCTGCTTCACTGTGAAATGAAGCGCTTGTGGTGTGAACGAAGTCTCTGGCTGATGAAGAGCGTTAATGATTACTCACAGAAGTAATCATTTTCTAATCACCAGGGGATGCAATGAGACGACTCTGGTCCCTCCCCAGGCAGTCTAATTTAAATGACACAAGTGAGAGATGTTCAGCTGACTGTTATGACGCATTCTTAGAGGCCATCGACACGATTGTAATTCCTCAGCATTAGGTTTAAGCAACTACCTTTGCTGTATAACATACACAAATTGATATGCACGCTTATCATTAAACTCTGACTTCATGCAGACAAGAGGCTCGCTGACTTCTGAGAAAGGCAGTTTATGCATATGTTGTTAGTCTGTAATGACCTATTATCCCTAGTCTTCATAAGTGCTGACAGACAAGATATTATGATAGCAGAAATGATGATGAGTCTCGGATGCCTATAGAAGTTATTAGAACAAAGCTTAATGCATTTCATATTGTCAATAAGCATAAATTTTTTACAGTTCAATGCAAATGATAGGTTTACATTTATATACTCGTGCTTTTGTTTGATAGTAACATAGCATGCCAAGGAGCTTATACATGGAAATAAATGGGAGTTTTCTTGTTTCTTTGGAGAGTGAAATAATTATCATTTATTTAAAACTTAAAGGAGACATAAAAAAATAGTAAAATACTGTATAATGATGCACTGAAATTTTAGCCAAATATTAATTCAAATTAGTCTTTGTTTGGAAAAACTACAATTCTGTTTTGTATATTTATAGAGAGACTCCATTACAATTTTTATATAGTAAATATATCTATAATATAAAAATATCTATAACTTTAAAAACTGAAATTTGGCTGATAACACATCTGTACCTTGTCAAGAATACACAACAGATGGCAATGCATTTTCCACTTCTAAAACAAATGTGGTAGGCTCTTTAAGTAACAAACTTTTTTGCCAGCACACATAAGAAATAGATCCTCTAATGAAATAGGTCTTTACTAATGCACCAACAGCCAAAGAGACGGATTGCATCTGGGCATAGGGACTTCAATGCACAATTGGGGAATGCAAATTCTGCAAATTTACAATTGCATTCCAATTGTGAAACTGTTTCTGTTCACATTGTCCTCTGGCCAGGGGCACCGCTAGCAATTTTGGGCCCTATGTAAGAATATGAGGTTGGGCCCCCTACCGCACCAAACATACACTATATTGCCCAAAGTATTGGGAAAACTAAAAAAAAACTCATCGCCAAACACCAATGACTTGTACATATGCGTACAATCATTTTAGACACTTCCAAACTGTGGCAACAAAGATGGAAATACAATTTTTAAATACATGAATTATGTTTCCATCTTTGATGCCACAGTTTTGGAAGTGCCCTTTTCTGTTCTAAAGAAGGGGGTGTCCCAATACATTTGTCCATATGTATGTACAAGTCACAGGTGTTTGTGTAACAGGTATGGAAAGTAATGTTAATTTCATATGTAGAATTACACAAATGTTCACGATGTATACCTCAATTTTCTCTGCCCTTTCTGCACGGTCTCTGCATGGGAGAGAAAAGACAAGAAGGGCGAAAACACACTGTAAAGACTGTTTTATGTTTTATCAGTAAAAGAAGAGTCGAACCGTCAGCTGATGTCCGTCTGGTTACTACTCATTGGAAAAAAAACACAACGCAGATTACACCGGTTACATTTGGTGATGAGTTTTTGGCTCAAGGTCTGCATTTAAAGTCACATCAGAGGTGTTCAACTGGGATTAGGACTTGGCTTTCTGCAGACCAGTCAAGTTCTTCCACACTGACTGAATCAATCTTTTTTTTTTTTTTTTTACCTTGCCTTATACACAGAGGCATTGTTGTGTTAGAATAGAAAATGGTCCTGTTCAACCCATTGGTATAATATTAGAAGCACACAATTCCCTAGAATAGCAAAAAATTAGAAATGACTAAAGTAGTCAAACCTGTTCAAAGCCAGCCTAGCTATTCAAAACCTTTGTCTGCAATTTAATAATATTGGCCTATTACTTTTGCTATTGCTTTTGACCATTAGGTATCATTAACATAATTCATTCAGAACCTGTTTTATGGACATAAGACTTTCTGTACCACACTATTCTGCTGATATGGAATGAGTTTGACTACGTAAGTTATATTAATAGAAATGCTTCACTGGGGCAAATAAAAAAAAAAACTAAAATAATAAACAGGATACCCCATAGCAGCATGTCCAGCAGTATCCAACATTTCTCAATCATGATCTTACTCAGCTAAATGTGACTATTAGCTTAACAGAGTATTCCTTGTTTGCTAGCTACCCATGCACATACAGCATACAATGTTAAAAATGTTCTACATTATGAACCTTAACCCAAAAACCTTTAGCTTCATACACTGTAGATAATTGTGACCCTTCCTGTGGAAGCCCAGCTAAAGTATTTTTTTTAAACCGTGGATGAGTAATTCATTCCTTGATTTGCTTAATAAAAGCCGCCTTTGAGATTGTTTTGACAGACCTGCTTATTGTGTATTATTTTCAACATGTTTATTGTAGGGATGCACGATATATCGGCCACCATATCGGTATCGGCCCATATCGGCTCATTTTTTCTGTTATCGGTATCGGCCTGATACGAAAATTTGGCCGATATCTTAAAGCCGATAAATAATGCATTATTTCCTTCAGAGACACTTCAGATGCGCGCTGTTCGTTTGCAGCCTTTTGTGCAATTGTACATTGTAATATTGTGTTTATTTGATGTATATCTGATTTATCTCATATAGAATGCGTTTGGTTAAGTTAAAAGAGCACTTCAGTTTACCGGTGATCATCTTTAGCTCAGCACACGCAGCCCAAACAGCAGTGCACAACATTAATAACTATGTAGATTTTCTATAGCAAAACTAAAATGTGTTTAAAAGTGCGACTGATCAAATCGACCGGTTCGGTTTGCCCCCCCTCGAACTCGAAGATATCTCTAATTTGAAAGTTTATCATCTGATCTCACTCAGTGACTCTAGGCTACGTAGGGCGGGACGAAACCATGCAGTGAATGGGGAGAGAATTTGGCTGGAAATGCAGAAATAAGCCGTAATTTTGTTTTATTTGTAACTCTTTGGGCGATACATTTATAATTTATATTACATTACTACTACTACTACTGTTACTACTAATAAAATAGATCTCTGGGGGCCCCAAAAGTGTGTGGGCCCTTAGAATCGTCCTAACTTCCCACCCCTTTAGCGGTGCCCCTGCCTCTGGCCACTGAAAATATTCAGCAAAACATAACATAAAACAATTTTCAGTGGTCAAAATTTCAAGAGCTTTATATGGTACATTTGATGGGAAACAAAACACTGTGACATCTGTTCCAGCAACAATAAGTACCCTCTCCCTAAATCTCTCCACATTGAGTCCCTCATTGCAGTCTGTAATTACAGAGATTAAGCCACTTTGTGCTCTCACTCTACCTAATAGCCATCGCATCACTCTGATCCTAAGTAAGAACTCATGAGATGTTTAAGCCTCAACCATCAACCCTCTTGAAGTTGCCCTTCAATGACAGCCACTGCTCTATAATACTGCTAGACATCCAGATGGTTTAACATGCCAATTTTCTCTTTGCTCAACCACTCTCAAAACCCTCAATAAGATGGGAGCACTCAGCTGCTTTCAAAGAAGGCTGCCAAGCCGAGTTTAGCATTTTGGCATGGTTATCTTGACGGAAATCACTGTTTATGTGTCAATGTCGACAGCCTGCTGACTTCAGTTGCTCCTCTGCTTAGAATTATGATTTAAGCAGTTTTCAAAGGAAGCACCTACAATACAAAATTATTTGGGTGTGTGTGTGTGTGTATACAGTAGATCAGATAAGGTAATACAGACACTTACACTTTCAGAAAGAATAATACATTTAGTATACAGTCTTTAAACTCACTGGAGTACATCAAAAATGAGAGAAAAGCCAAAAACTTACCCAGATCAGATCCATACACTTCAATCAGAGGCATCTAGGCAGGAAGATGCTTCCAGGTACTAACAAATGCAGTTGGAATCAGTGAATAAGGCACGGTAGTGATACTGTTCCAGCTATCTGATGTTGGATCATAGCAATCCAGGGTTTTACACCGCTGTGTACCGAAGTATCCGCCAACCACGTAGAGTTTATTACCAGAGGCCACAGCATGGCAGCTCATTCTTTTAGAAGTCATGTCACCAACACGCGTCCATTGATTGGTCTCACAATCAAATCGGTAAGCGGACGCTGCGGTGAACTCTGTATCACCACCCATTATGAATATCTGACTGCCAAGGACAGCGGCGGCGGTGTATCTCCAGGGTTGCGGGCATTCGGCAGCTATAGTCCAACGGTTCTCAACAGGGTCATAGCATTGGACCTTCGAAGCCTTGTCTCTGTGTATGGTGGTTCCACCAAACACAAAGAGTTTTAGCTTGGCACTGACCACTGCTGCATTGCTGACACCATCCCTAAGTGGTGCCATCATTGTCCATTTGTTGGTTAGGGGGTCATACCGCTCAACCTGTTTAAGAGATACTGATGGGGAGGCTGGGAAGACACCTGCTATAGCAGTGTGACCCCCAACAACATACAGGCAGTTTTCAAGTTCAGCTGAGCCATGTCCAAAACGTGCAATTAGCATAGGGGCACCTTTCGACCATTCTTCATGTACCGTGTCATATATCCAAACATCCTTTGACACTCCATTTTCCGACCCCCTTCCTCCTGTCACGTAAACTTTGCAGCCAATGGCACATGCACTGAACTCCTTCCTGGGACTGGGAAGATCTGATTTAGGGATGATCTCTTTTGCTTTGTGATCCACTTGGTAGATCTTATCACACATAAATGTCTGACCCCCAAGAATGAGCAGCGTGTGCCCAGCTTTGCGAGGCCTAGCGCATGGGCTGGTGACAACGCCGTCATTCTGCAGAATCTTTTTCTTGCACTGCATGGCCTCATCAACAATCTGTCGGCTCCTTTTATCTGACATCACAAGTTCCTCACATGCCACAGCTTCAATGAGGCATTCTGAGGGTAGCAGTGCAAGGCGTAGTCCTCGCAGCAGCTCAGGAAGGTAGTCTCTGCGGCTGTCTAGGTCATACCTAACCCAGCGCATGACTGCATTGAACACAACCTGTTCATCTTCAACCTCCAGCTCATCGCTAAGGATGAGATCCAAAAGCTTGTCTTTCGAGAGCCCGCAGAAGTCTTCAGTGTCTCGAAGAGTCTCAAAGTGGATGAGGCACATCCTCCACGACAGTTCATAAAGGCGCTTGCACTGATGGGCGTCAGAAAGCAGCATCATCCCTAAGCAGTTTGACACATGCAAATTCTTCTCTAAAAATTCTGCTGCTGCATCACGGATGTCATGAAACTGCAGCATATCTCCAGCCTCGAGAAGTGACTCTGCATTCTCCTCGTTGATGATGACACGTGAGGAGTAAGCAAAGTCCAACAGCAGCTCCAGAACTTCTGGGTGAACACTGTCTCGAAAGTTAACCTCATTGTCAAGGCTCTCACGGAGGCCACCGCTAAACATGGCTTCAAAGTAGCGACTGCAAGCGGCAAGCACAGCTCTGTGACAGGGAAAGGAGCGGTCGCCTGCCCATAGTGTCACATCTGTGAACATGCACTGTTTGCGCAGGGTATTGAGGTGGGTGAGCACACTGTCTGGATGTGACGGCTTGTGGAAGAGCGAAATGTTCATGGAGCCTGTGCTCGTCCTGGACTTGCGGTTTTCATGGACGCTGACTGACATCTTTTCCAGCACGTCCAAATTTTCACTGGTTCCAATACCCCCAACTAGGAAAATACAAAAGCACAACAAAGGAGGTTAGCAAGTGCTCTATAAAGGTATTTTCAGTATTGAGAATGACTCACTGCTGTACATGTGTATGCTTGGCAATAAAATCACCACTGAGAAGGTGGTTATGTACGCTGCTGTATCAACAAAATTTAGAGCCAACTAGTGCCACATTTTTTTCAGCTGCAGACAACATAACTATTGGTCTTGGGCTTTTTGATGATTAGCATTTCTTTAAATGTGGTTGTAGTGTTTGTTGAAATGGCTGAGAAATCTTTAAAAGCTTTTTTTTTCTTGTGTATAATGTCCAGAGACTGAAAATGTATTGCCTGAATGACATTTTCACATTCTTCATAAGAAAACTTTGCTTGACATTTGCTAGATATTCAGAGCTCCTTCAGTAATCTTACTTCAACAGCTGAGTTCCCTGTACTTTGTTCAGAGGATCTTAGAACTGTAATCCTTCTTTACACTGTGAAGCCAACACAAAGTGCACAATTAAGCAACTCTCTAATTCTCACATTTTATGCTGACAGATTGTGATAAAGTTTAGATTCATAAGTCAGTAACCCTTTGTTTTTGGCAAAACCTGGAGATTACTATGCAAGAAATCCAATCAGATCATTAAAATGAACACCTAAAGAAAACAAACATAAGAGAATCCTATCTACACTAATCAATAGTAGTTTTACTAGATTAAATGTGAGACATTTGTGAGGAATAAAAATGCAAGAATAAAAAAGATAGCATCTATAATAAACTGAGAAACCTAATTATTTATATTCTGTTATGATTCTATCGATCTTGTGTAGAGCACAGTTTTTTCAAGTAATACAATTGTCTTCATAATTAACTTTAAATTAAACTTTTCCTTTCTCTCTTATATCAGTAAATTTACTTGAGCTTTTTAACAGTAAACATTGTTACAAATCACTGACATGTTCATTCAACGCATAACTGGGGTGACGACCACTAGTCCAAACTGTAATACACTGCGTGCAATGCGGCAAAACTAGAAAGCTCCTATTATAATCAACAAAGTGCAGATTGTGTAAATTAGACAGGTTTGTTGATTAACATTCTTGAGTTATAATGCAATCAACAGCATGAAAAACAAAATGGTTTTTCACATTTTAAGAGAGCCAATGAGAACATGGCAATTTAGGCACTTGATTTACGGTGCAGAAACGCAATTGGAAAAGCTACGAAAATGGTATCATTTCAATGGAAATTATATTAATCAAAATGAATAAAGATCACAAGACTGAAGGGAAATAATTGAGTTACTGCATCACTTTTTTGTTTCATGCAGCCCTACAACAAAGACAAAAAAACTAATATTTCAACATTTAATTTGTTGGGTTTAAAGGCTGTGGCAGGTAATTAAAGGTACAAATGTACAAAAGCACAGGTTATATGGCTTGATATTAATGAACTGTCAGGATTTTCCTGATTGGTCAGGCTTGCAGCTCATGATTTGGTGAAATCCAGACAGTTTTGCTTGTTATCTGAAGTTTGACAATTGGAAAAGCTACGAAAATGGTATGCAGTTACCCTGCAAAAATCATTTCAATGGAAATTATATTAATCAAAATGAATAAAGATCACAAGACTGAAGGGAAATAATTGAGTTACTGCATCACTTTTTTGTTTCATGCAGCCCTACAACAAAGACAAAAAAACTAATATTTCAACATTTAATTTGTTGGGTTTAAAGGCTGTGGCAGGTAATTAAAGGTACAAATGTACAAAAGCACAGGTTATATGGCTTGATATTAATGAACTGTCAGGATTTTCCTGATTGGTCAGGCTTGCAGCTCATGATTTGGTGAAATCCAGACAGTTTTGCTTGTTATCTGAAGTTTGAAAACTAAGGTTTCAAAAGCAAAGGTTCAATGTTACCAGTGGCTCATTGTGTGAGTGGATGCACTTGCATGTAAACTGGATTCTTTAACTGAAACAATTTGAGGTTGTGATGAGAAAGGGGTGCAAGCATGCACAAATATCGGCGGGGACTTTATGGATCACACTCTCGGGATGACATGAATCACAATGCAAGAGTTTGACCACAAAGGATGCAAGGTCACAGCTATCCATGCAGAAAGCTATGCAGGGGGATAAGGGCAGCTGGGAGGCTGGTATTGAAGGGGTTGGATGCAGGGCTGTTGATGGGTGAACAAGAGAAAAGGGAGTAAGCAGGTGTCTGAAACCACTTACAATGGCAAAAACTGCTGACCCACGCACAGGCACTGACAGTGAGGAACTGAGGGGGGGTCTGCATTGGTCCCAAAAAGCGTCCCCTCAACAGGCCAGGCCAACAGAGTCCTTTATGGGGCCAGGGAACAGAAAATGCAAGAGAGAGAGTTTTTTTCCACATACAGTATAAGAAAACTTAAGAGGTTCTCCAGTAATTTCTTGCAAGGTGAAACTGCCTTGGGAGTTCCTGCATGGTTCATCCCATCACCCATGGTAACCATCACTCAATCACAGCATGAACCATGCCAAAGTTGCTGAATCATTCAATGTGAATATACTAACTACCTATCCATGCAGATATTCTCACCAGCATGAATGACACCTTTTAATTGCAATGCCACTGAGAGGCTGAGGAACAAAGGTCTTTACTTCTTTGAATGTTCTTCCTGTGTAAACATCTAGACTCCTCTGACTAAATAGCCTTTCCAGGTTCTTTTCACTGAGGATGTTGGTATTCCAGAGCTGTATTTCAGTTAGCAATGGGAGCACTATGGGAGGTGCTTTTTGTGTGTTTGCGGAAAGTCAAAAGCTGGAAACTTCGCTGATTTGAAAAAGCTCCAAGAATCACCGGCCTGCATGAAGTCAATCATCAGGACTAAGCACTTCTATCAGCACTCAGGCTAAAATATATTTTACACAAGTACTTGGATGCAGACATTTCGCACTGGGCAAGCTCGATTTCATGCACTATGTCTTTCCGAAATGTCGTAATACAGTCCATGCTCAGTGAGCTGCCATGTGAGGCACTATAACGAATGTCTTTTGGCTTAAAAAAAAAACTACAAACATTTTAGCTTTAGGGGTACAACAACTTGTCAATGAGGCAGTACAAACGGACAACTTTGTATTG